CAAGCCTCGGCCCTCATTCCGTAACGCGACCCGTGTATCGAACTCATATCACCAGTGTAGCCATGCCCGAGATCACACCCACAGCGGCTGGCTGGTGCGTCTTCTATGGCTTTGGCATCGTGGGGACCCTGGTCATGTATGGCCTCCTGCAGGCGAGAACCCGTCCCGTTGGAGTAACAGGCCTTGTAAACAAATTTGAAAGGTTTTGTTTTCTTCCTCGCGGGTGATGTTTGCGGGTGACATATAAGAGCCCTGAGCATGAAGGGGTGGAGACGGGTGCCCAGTTGTCCAATTCGTTTGTGAGCGTTGGACGGCATTGTTTTGTCAATTCTGTCGACGGAACCACCTCCATGTTTTACCCTGGGGCATCTAGCTCTCCGACTTCCGACAAACATCGACAGACCAAAGCAAAAGGAGTCCGTCCATGTCTTTCGCAGGAGGGCATCATGACCGTGGCATATGATGGGATCCTCTTCGAATACTCAGTGTTCCTGGTGTTCTGCAACCGCATGGCTGCCGTCTTCTTTGCGATCGCCATGGCTTACAGCAAGGGCGAAAGCATGCAGCGCCTTGGCGCGATGAGATCGCGAGAGGCACCGCTGGACGTGAAGCACTGAGCACAGCATTGTCAAGTGACCGCGTAAAGCAAACCCAACCTCGTGACCTCCGTTATTGAGGGCGCTTCATGTGTGCTTCGCTTTTACTCTTGAAGGCTTCCTGTGTAGGCACTGGGGCAAAAATTGTTATCGCCTCGATAGCCTTTGGTTTTCGTATTCGAGGCTCTTTATATTTGAGTGAGCTAACCTCACCGGACCACAGCCTGTCTTTTGTCGGGGGGTTGCGCAGCCTGGTCGCTTTCAAGTTAAAGGCCTCCTTGGGCTCCAGGCAACTCGAGGCTGGCTTCCATCGAGGGAGAGTCCGAAGGATCAATTGCAAGTGTCCTCTTGAAACTCATGTGTCTTTAGCGGAGATGTCTCATGTTGATCTGTTTCGTGTTCGATGGACTCGTTGTTAGATTCTTGGCATGCCAGACCAGTGCAACTAAGCTCTAATGCAAGATTCCTTCACTGCAGTCAGCTATCAAACTCCGAGGAACGCAGCGCCGCTTTGGAAATACCTCATCGTGTCCTTTTCCAACGTCTATGCCAGCAGTTGCCAGTACGAGGCCCTGAAGTGCCCCGGATTTGGCCCTGGAAACAAGCAAAGGCCCCACTGGGCGCCACTTAAGCGGCAGGCCCTACCCTGGCTTAGCACACGCATGTGCACTACTTTGACTTCTAAGGGGGCATGTGTGAGTGTTTGTCGAAACCAAATCTCGAAGAAATCCATTTGGCAGCACTTGGAAGCTGAATTCGGCATGTGGGCTTTTCACCAGCCAAAGGGCTTCAGCCCTAGGTGTTGCGCCTTTGCTCACTGGTGAAGATTACTCTCGGGGATGGTTCCAAGCCTTACGCGGGGTGTGCACTTGATTGTACTCGTGTCTCTTCCGGAGTACCACACCTCAAAGAAGGAGTTACATCTGAACACAATAGCAGCTTTAGCAATCAGAGACACGGCCATCGGATGAATTACTCGGCACTTCCAAGACCCTGCTTCATCCCGCTCCAGTTGTCAACCAAGCAACCCGTTTTGCCGGGTAACAAGCGCAAGCCACCAGGTGCAACCACAGAGCAGTCCAAGCAGGGACGTATCATTGCCTCGTGTGGTGGCTTATTTGGGCCTCTGAATGCTTGCAAGGGGAACCAAAGCGCCACCATTTGGATGGATTTCACTCACTTCACCGAGCATGCTGGACCCGTGGACAGTTGGACCAACCACACAAATGGTTTTTAAAACCGGGCAAACTTTAGTGGATGAGGGCAGGATGCAGAAACAGAGCAGTGCAGCCCCGCTTGCCCACTGCAAGGCACACCCCCTTTCGACAGGGGGAGACTACCGAGGTACGTATCTTTTGCAGTGCAGATGCTGGGCAGCTCGGCGGGCAAGCGCCTTCTGCCGGGTGCGGCAGATGCTGCTGGTTCTAGCCGATGAAGCAATTGCATTGGGCATGCTGCATGTTTGCCGCAAGTGGGAAATTCGCCGCGGGCAAAGGCACGAAAGCCCCGGTTCCACATGGAATGGCCCGGGCCGGGCGGTCAAAGCGAAACGCAAACACAATTTGCCCGCCCCTAGTTGTGTGGGTGGTTGTTGCCTGTCAGAGCTTGGGATACGCGTGCCGCCTATCCTGTCTTACCTTTGTGGTTGTCCTTTTTTTGGCAGCTGGGCTTGGATTGGGCGTGGCGTTTGGTTGCTGAGAGCGGCGAAGGAAAGAGCTTCAAGATGATGCCCGTGATGATTTGGGGCATCATCATCTCAGGGAAGCTTGGCGAGTTGCACCCCCTTCCCTGGTCGCAAAAAGGGCCCGGCTCAATGCAACGGGCCAGGAAATCTCTAAGAAAATCGCCGAATTCCAAAGTTCGGCCCAGGTTTGCCCGCTTTCTTTTGGCTTTGTTTGTTTCGTCTTGAGCCGCCAAAAGAGTATCCCCATTTAATCCTGGTGCATCCCTAGTTTCGGCCGGTGTGACCAGGTAGGAAACTGTTCCACAAAGAAAATCAAGTACATGAAGCATTTCATATCCTCATCTCCCGGCTGCTCTTAGGCCATGTCGCCCTGATTGATTCCCGCACCTGTTCCCTTCACGCATGTCATGGACGACCTTCATAAGTGCAGGGCTTCCGTCGGTTCCATTGCCAACCAACCCAAAGCTTGCGTTGCCCCACGTCAAACTATTGATCTAAAGCCAACCGAATGGCATTCGCCTCCCTGCAAAGCCAGCCAGGCTTACAGATCAAAACGCAAGGGGCTCGGTATTTCAAGCCAACAAAAAACGCCTTGCTTTTCTGGGTTTTGTTGTAAACTCCATTTTTGCTCCTAAAGGGCAACCAAAAAAGGATTGGCGTCCCTTGAAAGCCAGCTGAAAAGCATGAACTTTGCTTTGAATACAAGCAACAGCAGCCTTTGCCCTCGAAGCCCCCAAAAAGCATGTGTTTCCCTTTCGCGGCCGAAAGACGGGTTCCACCCCATCGGCAGCTCCTTGCCCCCGTTCGGTCGCCTTAGGAAGGCATACGGGGCCCGGGACTGGTCGGTGGCTCTGGCTGTGACCTTGGGCTGCACCGAGTTCCTCATGACGGGCCCCACGCACTCCAAGGCAGGAAACGTGCACATGGGTATGTGATGGCACGTGGTATTTTTTGGAGGGTCTTAGTAGTTGCTCAGAGGAATTTCATTTCAGGCGGGCCCAAGTCAGCCGTTGTTTTCGAAGGAAATCAAAGGTGCACTTTCTGCGACACCCAGGGAACCGCCGGAGTGATGAAGTGGTGGGTGCAAATCGGAAAACACGTTTGGAGGGCTTCTGCAAGTTGCTTTCGAGTTGGTTTCCCTGAGCGACCTTGCCAAGGCGGAGTACGCCCGAAAAAGCTTGCGATGAAGGTGCGTTTAATTTAGTAGCACATGCGTGTGGTTATTTTGGGAGTACTTGATTTAGATTGATTTCGAGGGAAACCAATCCAAAGCCCGTTCAATTTGTGTTGGTGGGCATGGTAGTTGAACATATGATTGTCCACAAGGCTGGGCGAACGAGGGAAGCTTTGATGTGTATGCCAACCAGCATTGTCATCCAAGACCAAGAGGCTAGGGAAAATGGAAGAGCTGACTTACAGGTGATTTTTTGCGTGGTTTAGAAGAGGGCCTGTGCCCAGTTCCCAGAGGATCCAGGATCAAAAAAAATCAATCCATGAAAATGAAGATTGATATTCGCATATTTTAGGTGTTTTTAAGTGTTTTTTAAAGCTATTTTTTTGAAGGAAAATATTGATATTTTCTCCAAACAAATGATATTGTTTGAAGTGTTTTTCAACCAAAATATCAATCTTTTTTTTCGATTGTAAGGTTTCTTAGAATGAATGCAGGTTTATGAAATGGTTGCAGCTCGCAGAAGGGGACAGATCAAAGGGCATGCTGCTTGCCTCAGAAAAGCCCTGCAGAAGGGCAGCGACCAAGAGGCAGACTGCATCAGATCATTGCAGATGTTTGAAAACTGCAGTTGCAGCGTTTGGCCTAGATCTTGCAGTCAACACATAGGCGCAATGGGAAAGAGGGAGCAGGTGACACCAGTGGACCAGTCAGTGCTGGACATGGCCCTGCACAGCAATAAAAGCTGGCAGGACTTGGGTGCCTATGAGACCATCAGCAAAGCACAGGCTGCAGATGGAGAAAGTTTAGCCATGCACTTTGACTTGCTGAAGAGCTTGCTGCTGGTTCAGCCTGAAGGCCAGCTTCTGCTGACCCAGGTGAGAGCTTCAATCCTGAAGGCGGTGAGCTTGGAACCTGAGTTGAACAAAACCAGCTTGAAGAATCTACTCTGGGCTGGAAGCAGGTTGACAGGATCTCTACCATGCTCTACCACTTGAGGAGGGCAAAGAACAACACAGAGAAGTGCCAGCAGCTGGTTGCCAAGTCATCATCTGGTTCACTTGCCAAAGTGAAGTCCCTCATTGCCATGCTGACCAGTGAGGCAGGGCCAGCTGAGGGTGAGGCAGGGCCTGCTGAGGATGAGCCATGCCCTGCTCAGGGTTTGCAAGAAGATCTCCAAAGTGAAGCACCACACACCCCAGTGCCTGCAAGCAAGCAGCAAGGCCAAGGCGCAGAGGAAAAAGAGCCATGCTCCTCGAGCTCCTCAAGCCGCAAAAGCCCAAAGCTAAAGACAAAGAAGCAGCCAGAGCATGGCAAGAAGAGCCCTTTCCACTACAGAAAGGAGTACTACAAGAATGGCAACAAGTTTGGTGTTAAGAAGTTTAACAATGGGAAGTGCGTGGGCCAGATTTTTGCTTTTGGGCACAAGGAAATCCACAAGGTGGAATTGGATGCCTTGGCATCCAAAGTCCTACACGATCTTCATTTGAGGCCAGGGGACACGGCCAAAGAAGAGGAGATCATGCTCCTGGCCAAGCACAAAGTTTGGAAGATGCTGAAGAATAAGCATGATTAGTTTGGCATGCTGTCTATAGCTTGGGGTTGTCTCACACGTAAAGACATCAGAGGGATCCATGCAACACATTCATCCTTGCTAGAGGGCTAGCCTCTGCAGAAGAGGTGCACCAAGTAAACCTTGTTTTTTGTGGAAGTTTGTTATCCATGCAACACATTCATAGAGGGCTAGCCTCTGCAGAAGAGGTGCACCAAGTAAACCTTGTTTTTTGTGGAAGTTTGTTATGCCAGAAAGCCCCTGCAGAAGGGGAGCTGAAAAACAATTCCCCTGCAGAAGGGGCGGAGAAGAGAACAAACTGCAAATCCTCTGCTGAAAAAGCAATTCCCCTGCAGAAGGGGATGGGGAAAGCAAAGCACAGCCTCTGCAGAAGAGGGTGTGCGCGCAAGCCTCTGCAGAAGAGGCTGCAGGAATATCTTGCATGAGCTGATTTGCAAGCGTTTGAGCACACACACATTAATTGTTGGTGCTGCAGTTCCATGGCTCAAGCTGAGATTAGCTAGCAGGTAAAACACTTGCTGGTGAGAAGCATGAATAACATGCAGCCTGGGATCATGACTGTGGAGCAGCTGCAAGCCATGCTGCAAGCCCAGCTGCAGCAAGGGCTGGGCCAGGGGCCTGTCCGAATGCAGCCCTTGAGCATGCATCTGCTGCAGGCGCAGCACAGCAGCCGCCGCAGCAGCAGCAGCTGCCGCAGCAGCTGCCACAGCAGCAGCAGCAGCAGCTTGACGAACAAGAGATGTGCAGCAAGTTGCTGCAGGCTTTGCGCTCTGGGCCAGGATTCTGGGCGTCAGATGATGCAGCTGGAGATCTTGACCTTGAGCAAGGCAACAGCAGGGACAGGAGGCTGGCCAAAAGGAAGGCTGTGCAAAAAGCCATTGTGAACCTGCTGGCCAGCCAGCTGGACCAAGGAGGGCAAGGAGGCTGGGCAAAAGTGCAGGAGCTGCTGCAAAGCCTTCAGCCTGGTGAAGCCTCGGACCCCAACCCAGCCTCCTCAGCTGATGGTGGGAAAGTTGCAGCCAGCTGGAAAGGCTGGTGCAGAAGGTGTGGGGTCCAAGCTTACAGGAACAGGGGCTGGTGCGACAACTGCGGGTATGGCCAAAAGAGGAAGTGGCGTGGAAGCTGGGAAGAAGAAAGCAAGAGCAAGCGGCAGGAGCTGCAGCAGGGCGAGCAGGAGGCAAAGCAAGAAGTTGCAAACTTTGAGAAGAAGGAGGTGGCCAACTTTGAGAAGAAGGAGGTGGCCAACTTTGAGAAGAAGGAGTCACAGCAGCTGGTGAACTACCTGCTGAGCCAAGGGAAGAGCGAGCAGGAGGCCAAAGAGGAAGCCAGCAACTTCGAAAAGATGCAGGCCCAGGAAACAGAAGAAAAGATGGCAGCAGATGCTGTGCAGTTGGCAGCTGAGCAGGAGAAAAAGGCTGCAGCTGAGGAGAAAAAGGCAGCAGCTGAGGAGAAGCAGCTCGCAGAAGCAGTGGCCAAGCTTGCTGAGGCATCTGCAAAGAGGAAGGCTGCTCAGGAGGCAAGAGCTGCAGCTGAAAGTGCAAAGAAAGCTGCTGAAGAGAAAGCTCTGCAGCTGACCTCAGAAGTTGCAGAGCAGATGAAGGAGCAGGATGCAACGAATGCAGCTCAAGAGAGTGCAGCAGATGCCTCTGAGACTGAGCCGCCTTCACCTCCCAAGGCCACAGAGAAAAAGAAGAAGAGCAAGAAGGACAAGAAGCCAAGGACCAAGAAGAGCCCCTTTGACCCGAGGTGAGAGCTGATGTATACAGTATTGCATGAGAGTAATATATTCATGGCGATTGCACTGCGCAAGTGCTATTTTCCATGCATTGCATCCACCAAGTCTTCCAGACCTGAGGAAAATGCTTTGAGCGCGTTTTTCCATTGCAGGGGGGGAGATTCGCATTGCAGAAGTTGCAACATGTCCAGCTGAATCAGGGGAGAGTCAATTAAGCCTCTGCAGAAGAGGCAATAGTGCTGTTTTGATTTAGTTGACAATTGTTTAGAAACTGTTCAAGGGACAGCTTTGGTGCCATGGTGGTAAAGCCCCTGCAGAAGGGGCAAGAAAGACTGAGCAGGCATCCTGAAGAGCAAAACCCCTGCAGAAGGGGGATCTGAGGCAAGCTGTTTGAGAAACACATATGTGCACACAGTAGCCATGCAGCCTTGGATGTTCAAGAAGTAGCTTCCAGATAGCTTTGCTCCTTAGCAGGAAATGTCTAGGCCCATGAAATTTCCAGCTTGTTCCAGCCATTGGAGGTGACCATCTGATGTGGAGCCACAAGAACATGGTTGTCTTCGCCAGCATCAGAGGTGGACCTGTGGAAGCCTACCTGGAGCGTGAAGATGGGACCAAAGAAATGGTTGCATTTGATGCACCAAGCATCACGAATGCTGAGGAGAGGTGGTCTCAAATGAGTGAGAGGCCAGAGCAGCTGGCAAGGTGGTTGCAGCAAAGCCCAGATGAGTGGAGGGAAATGCTGCAGCTTTTGGAGGTGGCACACGCAATGAAACTTTTTGAAGCCTGGAGACATCAAGAATTTGTGAGCTCTGACTTCAAGCTTGTGAGAGCTTGGGTGCATGATTTGCCTGAGCCTAGCACAAAGGCAAAAACAAGCACACACAGCCTCAAAAAGGCAAAGGCAATAGGAAGGGTGTCACTGTGATGAAGGGCAAAGGCAAACTTTGGTGTGAGCATTGCCAAAGTGCTTGCCACCCACTGTGCATGTGCCACTGCCATGATGTAGCCTTGGAACACAGGTACTGGGGCCAAGTGTAAGCACCTGATCACTGCTGGTGCAAAGGCAAAAAAAGTGCGGTGCGACTCCCTTTTGAGCCATAGTTATAGTTCACATGGTTTGGCTTTATTACAGACATTTTGTCTGTGCCATGCTACAGGTAGTTTGGTCTGTTTTTTTGTGGCCTGCGTTGTAAATACTACAGTCTGTATTACAGATTTTTTTGTGTATTACAGATTTTTTTTATCTGTATTACAGATTTTTTATCTGTATTACAGATATTTTATCTGTATTACAGATATTTTATCTGTATTACAGATGTTTTTTCTGTATTACAGATGTTTTTTCTGTATTACAGATGTTTTTTCTGTATTACAGATGTTTTTTCTGTATTACAGATGTTTTTCTGTATTACAGATATGTTGCACGTGTTTGTTGTTTCAGTCTGGTTTGTTGCTTTGTTTTTTTTGCATCTGGCTCATTCATGGAAGCATTGGGGATGTGAAGAAGGCCCTGCAGAAGGGCTCTCAAATGCATCTGGTTTTGCAGAAGGTCCAGGGCATTGGGAAACTGCATTTGGCCCTGCACAAGGGCCAAGTCCAATGTGGAAAGTGAATCTGGCCCTGCAGAAGGGCCAGATGCAATATATAGGAGTGTGCCTGGCCATCATGTTGTGAGGGCGCAAGTGCTGCATGCTCAGTTGCATGCACAAGTGGATCTGTGTAGCAAAGTAGATTGAGCACTGAAGACACTGAGCCATGGGGCCCCGCAAGAGACCCTCCATGAGCACATCAGGTGAAAGCAAGAGCAAGTCGGCCAAGGCTGAGGGTGTAAGCCTGCCTGATTCAGAAGGGCCCAACCCTGTACCAGTCGACCAGACTGAAGAGCCTGAAAAAGCAGGCAAGAGCCAGAATGAGGACCCAAGCCCGCTTGACCACGTGAAGTCTGAGTTGAGCAAGTCAGAGAGCTTGAACATGAAGCTGGAGTTGCTGAGGAGCAACACCGACTTGTCTGCAGACGATAAGTTGCAGCTTTTGAACGACCACTTGACCTTGGGTGACTGGAACAAGCTCAATGGCAGGTTTTCCTCAGCCAGGAAAAAAACAGTGAAATTGACAAGTTGGCTGCAAGCCAAGGGCAGAAAGCTCACAGGCACTTGGTTGGCTGCCTTGCCCTTGACCCAACCATGACTGATGTCTGGCAAGAGTTAACCCACACTGTGAGGGGGAGCCAAAATCTCGAGAAGACTGATGAGTGGATCAGCTGGACCAAGATGTTGCAAGAATGGAGTGAGGAGGAGCTGACGATGCACATTCACAGTGGAAGAATCTCTGAAAGGGAGTGCCCAGACACACCTGGAGTTTGGGAATTCAAAGACAACAACAAGGTGAAGACAACCAAGGTGTTGGGCAGAGATAAGCAGCTCAGCAAATCTTCCAAGAGCCAGCTCAAGCCAGAGACCAAGGAGGACGATGATGATGACTGGGACAAGGCTTGGACTGCCTTTGGCTCAGCATCCAGCTTCAATGACATCCAGCTGTTTGGCACTGGTTCCAGCATTGCCAAGGGCAAGGGGAGCATGAAGGGTAAGACTTCCAAAGGCATTGGCAAGAAAGGAAAAGCAAACAAAGATGATGAGGAGCAGGTGACCAAGAAACAAATCCAGTGGCTGAAATCTGCTTTGTCCAAAGCCATCACTGTCGTGGGCTGCAAGGCATTTGAAACCACAGACAAAAGAGGGCACGCAGCCAAAGCAAAGGGTGAGCTGGAAGAGATCCTCTCCAAAGTGTCCGACAAGGGCGATGTGTGGGAGCACAAGGAGTTCCAGGCCATTGCAGAATGCCAAAGAGAAGATTACCTTGTGCAAAGAAATATTTGGCTGAGAGGCTAGGATAGCAGCTGGAGTAGAAATGCTGCGCACCAGAGACCGACCTGACTGAGAAAACAATGGCGTCTGTGCCAGCTGCATAGATTGCTGGCATGCATGTTGAGGATCTGGTTTGCCAGCAAATATTTGGCTCAAGCAAAGGGCAAGGTTAGCAGCATGCTGTCAGTTGAAGAACTTGCCTTGCTGGCAGATTATAAGATTTGCCTGTCCTGTTGGCTGTGCCAACTGGAGCCATACCTGCCAAGGAGTTCATGCAAGCAGCCTTGCTCATGCATGTGTTTTCATGAATGTGTTTTCTTTGCATGCAGGACTGAGTACTTGAAGCTGTGGCAGGTTTGCAAAGACTGTCGGTGTGAATTCGATGAAGCTGAGCCTCCAGAATTGAGTTTAGCATCAGTTGGTGGAATTCGACTGCAGACCATTGCAAAGGAGCCGACAGATGACCCAGAAATGCAATAGCCAAGGTGCAGCAAAGGAAAAAGTGCAGGTTGTGAATCTGTTGCGCTGCAGAAGTGCATTCCAGCTTATAGCTAGTATAGGTTCATGCTGCAGCCGATAAGCATCATGCCTGGGCACAAGCAAAGCCTGGGGTGCTTGCGTTGGCTGTGGACTCTTGGGGACATCTCTGCCATTGCTTGCCAGAAAATAGCACACAGTGCTTTTCTGGATGGGCTGAAGCACCCTGCCGTGGCCAAGGTGGCCAGCTGTGGCTCCTGGGGACAACACCCCAACAATGTGTCCAGGGATTTGGAGAGGATGGTGGTTTCAGAAAGCAAGGCATCCTTTGCAGAGCCCACTATCATCAAGGATTGCCCTTGCTCCAACCCCAGGACAAGTGAGGAAGAGACCACTGACGTTGCTTTTTTTGACCCTTGCAACACTGTGGCAGCATTGCAGGAGAGCCCAGAGCATTTCCAGAGCATTTTCCAACCAGATGGCCTACTAGAGTTTTGGAACAATGTTAGGCCTGATGACCCCAGGCTTACCATACTCATGCAGGAATCCAGCTTAAAGCATGAGGACCTACCAGCAACAGTCCCACTCTGGGTTCATGGAGATGGTGTGGAGTATGCCGATGGCAAAACTATGATGGTGTATTCCTGGGGCTCTGTCTTGAATTCAGGCCCATCATTGAGCTCATCTCTCTTGCTGCTGGCCTTTCCCAAAGATTGTGCAGTGAGTGCAACCTGGGAGACACTGTGGTCACATATTGTTCCTTCATTTTCTAAGCTGCAGGCAGGAAAGACTGACATTGTTCACAACTACAGGTTTACAATCTGGCAGGTCATGGGTGACCAAGAATTTTTTGCCAATGTCCTGAAGCTGCCACATTGGATGAACGCACAGCCCTGCTGGGAGTGTAAGATGACTGGCCCTCAGCAGCAGAGCAACCTGGACAAAGACATTGAAGGCTGGAGGCTACCTCAAGAAGAAATGAATTGCAGGATCTCAGCACACCCACTCTTTACCATTCATGGAGTATCCCATTTCAATATTGCACAGGATGCAGTGCACATCCTGTTTTGCAAAGGTGTTCTTTCTCATTGTATGGGCAATGCGTTGAAGTTTTGGTGCTACACTTGCAAGGCTGTGCCAGGAAGAAGCATAAGGGACAAAGTCAAACATATTTGGCAAAAATACAGTCGCTCTACAAGGACTTTGAAGTGGACTGCAGGCTGCCCACATTGAAGCTATCCATGTTCACCAGCCCCGACAAGCCTCATCAGAGGCAAAAGCTGGGGAATGCAAAGCACTGGTGCATCTGTTTGCACAACTGGCAGTGGAGTTCCATGAAGGAGATGAAGTCTCCTCCAAGATCCTGGCTATCTTTGAAGACATGGCAGCTTTTGTAGATTTGATGGATGCAGCTCCCAGGTTTCCAAGTGAGCAAGAGGCCTGCCAGGCAGCCTTTCTGATGACTTCCTTTTTGGGGCATTACAAGTGGCTGCAGCTGCACAGGTCCAATGACTTCACCTGGCACACAGTGATCAAATTTCACATGGCCAAGCATTTGGCCCAGACACGCATGGTGCTTTAAGGCTGAAGACTATGTGGGCAGAATCAGCAAGCTTGCACACTCAGCATCGTTTGGCACAACAGCCACTTTGCTTTCTGTTAAGATCTTGAAAAAGTATCGGCTGATGATGTATGTCAGGTTCTGGAAGGGGCTGCTGTGACACAGAACGTTAACATATTGCGCCAGGCAAAAAAAGAAGTGGTGTGCTGCATGTGCCCTGCAGAAGGGCAAATGAGATCCTTAAGTTCTTGGACATGTCAAGTTTTTGTGCAAAAAAGATTGATATTTTGCAAAAAAGATTGATATTTTTATATATTTTCTCAGGAAAAGATTGATCTTCCTTGATGTGATTGGGAACACATAAAACAGCTATAAAATGCAAAGATTGATCTCCAAAAAGATTGATATTTTTTATAGGAAAAGATTGATTTTTTTTGATCCTGGATCCTCTGGGTTCTTTCGGTCACAACTCTGGCAGGCAACCAGGTCTTTTCTGCCTCTAGGTTTACATGATGGCATGGGTTCAAGTGGGTTGCATGTTTTTCCCTTTTGTTCACGTGCGGAACCGGGAACGAAAGGTGGACACTGGCAACAGCTTCAAGGGCTTCGTCCTTTTGGGCGGCTTCCTGGCGCTGGATGGACTGACCTCCACGTTCCAAGAGAAGCTCTTCAAGGAGTGGCTGGGTTTGGGGACCCCTGCTGGGGTGGAAGGGCAGTGAGGCAAGGTCTAAGGAGGCAGAATGAAATTTTACTCGGTTGGTTGAGAAAGTGCCACCGCATCTTGCGACAGATGCGAGCGAGTCCCCATCCCAGGCATGCATCTGCCGCAGCACCTCGTATACACACATATTTTGCCTGAAACCTTGTTGACGCAGTGCGGATGGTGACGCTGGGAGTTCGCACCAGGACAAACAACAACAGCGGACAGAACCCCGAAGAAGAACACACACGGATACATTTGCCTAAGTCAATGCATGTACATTTGCTTACATGTTCCCTGTTTGCGTATATGCATATTATATCTAACCATTTATTTATTTGCATAAGGGGCATATGCATGCATACATACTTACATATTAACCTACGTACGTACGTACGTAGGTAAATGCATGGATGCATGCATACACACATACCTACAGCCAGACAGACAGACAGAGACAGACAGACAGACAGACAGACAGACAGACAGACAGACAGACAGATATACCTACCTACCTACATACATACCTACATAAATACATGCATGCATGGAACATGCTTGCATGGAACATGCTTGCATGGAACATGCTTGCATTACATGAAGTCATGAACACATGCACATGCAATTGCACACATGCGCGCACACACACGCATATTCAAAGATGGACCTTGACATAGGCATATGCAAAGTGGCATAAGCATTGATATGCACGCATACACATCATACATCTAAACATGCACTTGCGCATGCATATAGGATGTACATCCGCGCACACGCGCACACACACATATATATATATATATATACACGCACACACGCACACACAAGCAAACAAACACACAAACACCCAGACAAACACACACACACACACAATCACACACAATCACAATCACAATCACAACCACAACCACAATCACAATCACAATCACAATCACACACACACACACACACAGGCGCGCACGCACGCACACACTGAAGCACACGCACCCACGCACGGACGCACACCAAGCCATCATCACACAAAAACACTTGGTGCAAGGCAATGTGCAAAACCAGAAGGACCACTTGAATACACGTCGTTGGGCACTGCTGTGCTGCCTGGCAGGAGCACCAGACCACCAAGTACAACCAGATGATGCCACGCGCCGCAGTGGAGGTGTTCCAGCCACGCTGGGTAGCTATGCCACCTGTATGCCACCTAACCCCGGCAAGCACTTAGCCTTGTTTTTCAAGAAGGAAAGCCTTCCTTAATTTCCATTGCGGGGCGCCAGGCCCAAACCAAGGGTCAGGAGTGCTCAAAGCATGCATAGAGCTAAGTAAGCAGCTGGGCATGGAGGCGAGTCTAACCCATTTTGTGCAAAACCGTGACAGGCGAGGGCAGTTTCCGATGAGGCTGTCGCCGTTCAAAACTGGCATAGGCTTTCCGAGGCTTCCCATCGCTGTCCAGCCAAGAAATATCAATGAAAGCGAGCCTCATTGTGGGAAATAGTGATATGCTCCTGTTGCTTGATAACAAGGGCACATTACTTGAAGTGGAAACAAGGGCAGGGGAAAGGTCCAAGTTAGCACCACAAATGTGACGCGGTCACCTTCCGCAACCATGCGCACAGATCCGTGCGACCTTTTCTGGATGCTACACAACCTGCATCGTGCAGTTTCTTGTTTTCACAGACTCATTTTGCGCAGCGCAGTTAGCATTGCCGAGGTACATCAACCTACTTTCCGCCATGGTGTCCCTCGTTACCTTGTGCGCCACTGGTCAGCTGGTACCGGCTGTGACCTTTGGCCTCTCAGCACAAAATGCGCACTGGAAGGTAGCGTCCGCGCTGGAAGGTAGCGTCGCTGTGGGCGCTTAAAATAGGGGGACACTCTTAAAGTAAGTTGTTTCCTAGTCTGACAGGCCCAAAGGAGGGCAAAAGAGAAACCCGCACATCTCCAAATACCTCATCTCAGCACGGAATCCAGGACCTTTGAGGGCCCCCATGTTCGATGTCAGTGCATGGGGGGCAGGGGAGGTCTATGAGGAGTCTTTAAAATGGGGAATCCGCAGTTGGAGGGCCTACAAAGGGGGAGCAAAATGCTTTCACAGGCGTGAAGGTCCAATCCCCAGCGGATTTGAACGTGCCTGTTTGAAGGCGCTGCGATGTTGGTGGTGCAGTGTAACACGGCTAGCATACTATCTTCGCTGATGCGGTTCAGTAGTGTTGGGTTGAAATTTACTCCCCCTACCTTGCTTTTCAAAAGCTAGGCGGGGAGGTAGGGTGAGTGAGTGGGGGAGGTAGGTGGGTCAGCACAGATGGCGCAAAGGTTCCACCTTGTCGTTCAGTAGGTCCCTGTTCCCTTTCTGCTTGGTGGGTTCTCAAGAATTGGTCAACACCCGGAAAAGAATTCCCTTCTTCCTCCGAACGGGTCACTGGTTGCCACTGCACTCGAAAACTGACACCGCGATCCATAGGCATGGAGCACCCACAGTTCTGGATGGACTCCCTCATGCTTAGCGCCTCAGCGGTGGCCAGCCAGTTCTTCATCTACTCTCAGATCAAGGCCTGAGCCAAAACATGGGGAAGGAGCTTACAAGACATCTACCACAAAACCAGGGGACGAGCCCCAAATGCCCGCAGGGGCAACAAGTAATTTTGACCATGCCTTACATGAAAGCCAAACACGAGAGGTCCCCCAAAAAGGCCAGGCTGCCAAGGCTGTTGGAACCACTTGGGACTCGCAGTTTGGTCAGGAAGATGGCATCTTGGCTCAGTCATTCCCTGTACTCAGGGCCGTGGGATTCATTGACAGAAATGGGTATAACAACTTGCGACCGGGTTGGGTGATTTGGCAGTTGCTGAAAGGACTTGACTCAGAGAGCAACACATCGCGGTGGGTGGCTGAACTATCCCCTTACGTATTCACACTGACTTGGAACCCAGAAAAAAGGTGTCCCCCAACAGCCGAGGTCCTCTTGGAACGGAGCCGATTATATTAGCAATAGGGGGCGTCCCATCTTAAAGGGACTTTTGCACTTCTGTGGGGAGAACCCCTCCATTCATCCGCAAGATGCATTCATCCGGGGTTGTCGCTGGATCGCTGAGATGGGCCCGGTGATCGCCGTGTGGCTCCTTTTTGTCTAGGAGTTTGGGGCCTTGGTCTTCGCTGCCACGATGAACGTGCGCCAAGTGGTGTCCATCCTGGTGTCCTATGCTCCCTGGCGTGCGAGTCGTGGGGGGGATTTTAGGGGAGGGTGGAGTTGGGTCTTCCCAGTGCGCGACCGGGAGCAGCCATGCCAGAGAAGCATAGGGCTTTTGAGCATTTGAGCTTTGCATCATGGATGGTTTTTAATTTATACTGAGGAGCCTTTGGTGGGTAATTGGCGGAAGCAGGCCTTGTGTCAGTTGGCCTTGGCCTGTTCATGTTCGGTATGCCGGCTGGCTGTGTCAAAGGTTGTGGCATTCAGCATGATAAATTAGTTTTGTCTCAAACTGATGGACCCCAAAGAAGGGTTTCCTGCAGGTTGCTTTTTCAATCCACCCCTAAGCAGGCAACCATGTGGCCTATCGATTTGGAGTGGCTGGTGCTTTCTCGTGGGGCTCTTGCTTCACCCACTCCCGGACCGGGATCTCCGAGATGAAGTACCACAACCCCGTGACTCTTCTTCAGACTCTTGGCTTGGAGAAGGGCCTTGCTTTCGCTGGTCGTGGGTAGCCAGTGATAGCTAACATTTGGACCTTGGTTTCCTTGTTCTGGGCCGCAGATGGTTGGTTCCCAAGTTCCACCTGTGCTGGAAAAGGGACAGGTTATGAATCAAACCAAAATGTGATGAGACGAAGCACTTCCCGGAATTCTTGCCCAAAATGCCCGCCTCGCAAAGTCACAATTGGGGTCGCACTGGATCTGTTCTCAAGGATCTTCTTAAGACCTTTCAACGAAGAGTTATGTTATCCCCAGCTGTTCGGGCGCACTCTGACTTCATTATTTTGATAGAGGCAGCTGCCAGAAGTGCCTGGAAGACAACAATTTCGGCAGTTTTCGGGAGGCGGTTAGTGCAGAGGCAGGTTGGAGGGCTCGCGTAGGCCAACCACGATGACCCTTCGGGGGATCAACGAGACCATCTGTGCCAATCTATTTGTCCGATTCACAGAGAGTTTTGAAACTCAGAGGCATAGGGCCCCCCCCGTGTAGCAACTTTCAGGGATTCCACACTGTTCCAAGGCCATCAAAAGGCAAGCCAACTGCGAAAGGCCAAGCCCCACCAGAGACTTCCGCATGGTCTCATGGAAAGCCTGTTAACTGTTGTTCTTTTTGTTGTGTTTGTGTTTGTGCTTGTGTGTGCTCCAGGTTGCGGATTTGGGCTGAGGGTTATGGATTTTGCTGAGTAGGAGACAGGACCCGAGATCCGTTTTGATCCAGAACTTTCACATTTGAACCTTCAAAAAGTTTACGGTTTCCCAAAAGCGGGTTCTCCCCGGCATCAAAAAAACTGCTCCCAAATCTACATGGCCGCCAGGGTCCTGGGACTGATGATCATCTTCTCAGCTCTCTTCTACAAGTCGACGGCGTCCATGATCGATGCCCCCTCCAAGGAGGAGAAGAAGCCGCTTGTGGAGAAAGCACAGGACCGAGGGAGGAAAAGGCTGATGGAATTCAGAACCCCACTCTTTGAATTGTTGGCCTTGGCTTGGTGAACCACTGCCCTCTTAGGCTGCCTTTAAGGCAATCCTTATTCCCGAAAGCATCGCGAAGGGTTCTTCCGTGCGGAGCCCTTGGACAAGTTACACAGAGCCAAGTTGCACAGAGCCAAGTTGCACAGAGCCAAGTTACATAGAGCCAAGTTACATAGAGCCAAGTTACATAGAGCCAAGTTACATAGAGCCAAGTTAGTTACATAGAGCCAAGTTACATAGAGCCAAGTTACATAGAGCCAAGTTACATAGAGCCAAGTTACATAGAGCCAAGTTACATAGAGCCAAGTTACATAGAGCCAAGTTACATAGAGCCAAGTTACATAGAGCCAAGTTACATAGAGCCAAGTTACATAGAGCCAAGTTACATAGAGCCAAGAGCCAAGTTACATAGAGCCAAGTTACATAGAGCCAAGTTACATAGAGCCAAGTTACATAGAGCCAAGTTACATAGAGCCAAGTTACATAGCCAAGTTACATAGAGCCAAGTTACATAGAGCCAAGTTACATAGAGCCAAGTTACATAGAGCCAAGTGTGGCACAGAGCCAAGGTTAGGTAGAGCTTGCGTAGAGCTTCGGCGTAAGCAGCTATGTAAGTTAGTTTAGGTTTCTTAGGCGCCGGGGCGGGAGTTTGATCATTGCTCGGGATTGCGACCCTCTGCGGAGATCCGAGTGGTCGATGTTTAAAATCTGGGGACTTTTTACGATTTCTGCGGTGCGCACGCGACCCTCTGCGGAGATTCGCGTGGTCGAGGTTCAAAAACTGAGGACTTTTTACGATTTCTGCAAGCGCGCGCGACCCTCTGCGGAGATTCGCGTGGTCGAGGTTCAAAAACTGAGGACTTTTTACGATTTCTGCAAGCCGCGCGCGACCCTCTGCGGAGATTCGCGTGGTCGAGGTTCAAAAACTGAGGATTTTTTTGATTTCGATTTCTGCAAGCCGCGCGCGACCCTCTGCGGAGATTCGCGTGGTCGAGGTTCAAAAACTGAGGGCTTTTTACGATTTCTGCGGTGCGCGCGCGACCCTCTGCTGAGATTCAAGTGGTCGAGGTTCAAAAACTGAGGATTTTTTACGATTTCTGCAAGCCGCGCGCGACCCTCTGCGGAGATTCGCGTGGTCGAGGTTCAAAAACTGAGGGCTTTTTACGATTTCTGCGGTCCCCCCGCGACCCTCTGCGCAGATCGTGCGCGTCGAAGCGCTCTCGCTGTGGCGCCGTGCGAATTTGTCTTAGTCTCGGCGAACCCTCTGCGGAGATTGTGCGTGTCGAAGCGCTCCCTGTGGCGCCGTGCAATTTTCTTGCTCGCGGAACAGCCTTTGGAAGTTGTCTCGTGGTTTGCGCACCTGCTTTCGCAATCCCGCGGTCGCGGGTTCGATTCCCCCCTGGTCCGCGGCAGCTCCGGAGCGTGCTATCGCAACTTTTAAGTACAAACGTAGTACGCGGAGCGTGCTCCTGCAGCTCCGGCTGGAAAATCGCAACTTTTAAGTACAGACGTAGTATGCGGAGCGTGCTCCCGCAGCTCAGGCTGGAAAATCGCAACTTTTAAGTACAAACGTAGTACGCGGAGCACACCCCCGCAGCTCCGGCTGGAAAATCGCAACTTTTAAGTACAAAAATAGTACGCGAAGTACATTCCCACAGCTCCGGCAGCACTTGCGCAGAGCAACTTGCGCAGAGTCACTTGCGCAGAGCAACTTGCGCAGAGCAACTTGCACAGAGCAATTGCACAAAGCACTTGCGCAGAGCAACTTGCACAGACCAACTTGCACAGAGCACATGCGCAAAGCGCTTGCACGGAGCAACTGGCGCAGAGCAACTTGCTCAGAGCACTTGCGCAGAGCAACTTGCACAGAGCACATGCGCAAAGCGCTTGCACGGAGCAACTGGCGCAGAGCAACTTGCACAGACCAACTTGCACAACGCACATGCGCAAAGCGCTTGCGCGGAGCAACTGGCGCAGAGCAACTTGCTCAGAGCACTTGCGCAGAGCAACTTGCACAGAGCACTTGCGTGCAGCAGCTTGCAGAGAGCAACTTGCGCGCAGCAGCCTGGAACACTGCAGCAGACCACTTTCGTGAGAAATCGCGCGGCGCAGTTCGAGAGGAAAGTAGGATGATGAGATGGAGCTCTCATGTGACCATACACACTGAGCATCGCCGCGCGCAGACACGCTCGCCGCAGCGATGTAAAAAGGTGTCTCCGCAGCTAGATGAGCACCTGTGGAAAAATGCTTTCGGGCCAATCGTCCTCTAGTTTTTATGGTGGCGAAGCGGACCCCTTAGTCACGCCAACCATTGTTTGTCTTGTTTGCCAGCCAGGTAACATGTCAGCAAGATGTGAGTTGTGCACCACCTTTGAATGCACCGCATGCATAATATTCAGGGCTTTGGGAAGCATAGGGAGAGATTATCCCTTAAGGCTCAACTGATTCAGGGGATGGGCCGCTTCTTGGAGACACACACAAAGAATATGTACCGCCACAGGATTTCACCGCGTGAGCAGCAGCAAATCTGTAGGGCTGGACCTCTACCCTCGCCGCACCTGCAGCTCCCACGAAACAAAACTATAGGTAAGCAGCAGTGACAGCAAAGCTAGCTAGTTTCGTGCACCTACGAGTGCAGGACCTCAAAAACCGGCCAGGTGCACATGACATGAGCTATGGGTGCACATGAGGTGCAGCAAGCCAACGGAATTTGATCATTGCTAGCATCACTGCTGAGACAATGGCAAACCATGCATCAGGCAAAATCGAGATGCCCACCTGAATCGACAAGCAGGGCAAAAGCGCATAAGCCGACTTGCTGGCAGCTTAAGAGTTGACACGCCAGGTGCGAGAAAAAGGCTTCCGAAAAGGGAACACGGTAGCATCGAAAAGTCGACTCATCTTGTCTACACATGTTGGCCAGCCCACCTGAGACAGCTCAAAGCGACCCTGTTGTTTGTAAGAATGGGGTGGGATGTCAGAATGTGGCATGGTCTTGGGCATCATGAGTTCTGAGTTCTGAGATCAGCTTTTGCATTCCTTTCCGCGCATGTGCCTCGGTATGATGGGGTTTCTTATTTCCACCAGCATGCCTGCGTTTGCGTGGGCACTGCCTGCCAGGAGGACGCCCAGGATGCAATCACCAACGCCGACAAGAAGGTGTAAGCGGCGTTCGAACAGGACGGATGTGGCAGCACGATCACCCGCGCGGCTCCAGAAATGGAAGGCCTTTTGTGACAATGATTTGTTTGGGGGCTGTGTAGGGAAACCAAGAGTGCTTCTTTTAAGACACGCACATATTGTAGCAAAAAATCACAATTCACCTATGACGGAGATTTACTTATTTGTTACAGTTTCTCGGGGTGTCTGCAGCAGGCCGTCTCGCGCGCTTACTTTCCACTTAGATCGCACTTGCTCACTCCTCACTCTGCTGCGAAAGGAAAAGTTGCAGTCATCGATGATTCGACATGGGGGCAATTGGGTGCCGCTGTAGTTGGTTGGGTTTTGGATTGCAAGGGGTCAGGTACAGTAAGCCGATTTGAATTCGGGCCCGTGTGTGGTGTGCAAAGTGGGTTGAAAGCATCGAACTTGCGCACACGCAACCCAAACCACACAATTCAAACAAGTGTTACAATTGAGAAGGTTCCGCAAAGGCCAAAAGGCCACCTGCGCACTGGCCCGAGCAAGCGGCAATCAGACAATCGCCGACATGAAGCTGAGCCACACGACAGACGCATAGCCTAGGACTGGTTGGAGGGCCGGGGAATGGCAAGATGACTGGGAAGCAGCAGCTTTGCCCCTTCTCTTCCCCGATTCCCTCTTTACCCAGTATGGCATTTCACTAGTTTTCATGCATTTGTTCAAGCCCATCCGAGATCCACACGTTCCATCGGCCTCCGCTCAGTCGGTCCTCTGGATTGGTGGTTTGAAGGTTAGGGGATGGCTTGCCCTTGACACTAACACGAGCAGCAAAGTCCCAAACCAATCAGAACCACCAATCAAAGCAATTTTGAAGGCGGTCCATGAGGGTGTGCCTGCTTGAGGCTATCTTTTTTGTGGTTGTTTCAGGGGGGTATGAGAAAGAATTCCACCTTGTGTAATAGGAGGTCCCCCCCTACTGTGGAGACAAGCTCCTGTGTGCCCCTGACAGCATTATGGCGTTATGGACTCTGCTTTTGGGTGCGGCATGGGGCAAATTGAAACTGGGGGATCCGCAGTTGTCCAATGTCTTTTGTGGAAGAATGATTTTTTAATCCAACAGGTGACTAGGCAGCTGGCAGCTGGCAGCTGGCTGAGGTGAACTACCAAGACGTGGAGTCCGTGCGGAAGCTCCACCAACAGCTGCAGGCCAATGCAGATGGGCCCCAGCCTCAAGGGCATTGGGTGTGTCCCGGAAAGGGGGTCGAAGATTCGGTGCTTTTTGAGGATGCCGTCTTTGATTTTCGGGTGCGCATTCCCTAGGCGTACCTCGAATAAGCATCACCACCTCGAAGGGTGAACGCTGTGGGGTTCACAGGCCATATAATACTTGTGAAGCCACTTTGCTCCGACTCTGTCAGGTTGGTGGACAACCGCATCTTCTATTTGGCGTTGCCGTGCGAGCCTAAGACTTGTCCTCTCAATGTGCGCTCGCGCCGTGCGTTTAAGGGTGTCTTAGCCAACTTGGGTGGTTGGCCCCGTTTGTGTCGGGGAATGTGTGGGAAGTGGATGATATCCGCAGAGGGTGCCAATTGCAGCGGGTCTCCAAGCAAGCAGATTGCGAATGACTTCATCACTGTTGCACTTGGAGATGGTCTGAGGCCCTTTCTTTTTCAAGAAGCGGTGAAGAAAATTCGCCAGGCGCAGCGGGCACTGGGAAGGGATGTGGGAGGTGCTTTTGCTCTGAGTGTGAGCTTCCTTGGAGGTTGCTCACTGGATTCCACCCTTCACATCCCTTGGATTTACCATGTTTCCCATGTTTGATTCCTTTGTTGCCCACTAAACACGGATTTCCAACCCAAAAATGGGGTCTAGTACTTTCTCTACCAGGGTCGCTGGGCAACTGGGTTTGTTGACAGGCGCTCAGGACAGATCCCCTTGCTTTCTCTTGTCAAGTCAGCCGCCGTGGGAACAACCAGTGACAGAATCATTGCATTTGCTTCAGGCATCCCTTTCGACAACGGTCTTGTTCAAGCGATTCAAGCTATCTTGGCGCCAGAGAGGACGACCAAGGGAAAGAGTCCTTTGTGCAGGCCAGGAATTCTGGCCCCTTGCCAGGAGTGCTGGCCGGAAAACGGCTACGTGAGCCTGATGCCGAGCTTTTTGCATGGTGTTCAAAGGGAAATGCAAAGGAAACCGACCGACCCGGAAGGCATCACTCCTTCAAGACCCCACAGACTACGCCACTCAAAACGGGCGTGGCGTCTTCGACGCCCAGACACTCCGTTGCGTTTTACGCCGAGGAGTCATTGTGGAGAAGCCGTTTGGCCACGACCTGGCGTCCGTATGGGCGCCCAGCGAAAAGCAGAGGATGGTTGAGATGGTTGAGACAAATATGTCGCTCGGAAACCTAAAATGGGTTGGTTTCTTTCGGGGTTCCCTTTGAGCCGCAACAGGCGTACCCTCAGAAACGAAAGCACCATGAAAAGCACTGCTTGTTCAAAGAGAATGCTAGATGAGTTGATGGTGAAGCAGCGGCGGGTGGGTTTTGACAGACCTAGCCCTGATGCCGACTCCCTGTGCGGGATACTTGGAAGACTTGATCGTTCGTGATGTGAGCCAGCAACTCCTGTGCTGCATGGCGCTGGGGTGGGGGCGGGGGTTGCTTATGGGTTGCAGTAGGCAATTGCACGGCACGCGCGATGAATGGAACATTGAAGCATGCCCAGCATGCCACACAGACGCAAAGAGACACAGATACACAGACATACAGACACACAGTTGCAGAGAGAGAGAGAGAGAGATGCTCATGCACCCCTATACACAGACACAAGCAAGTACACGCACCTATATAAAATCATAAACACAACAGAACACAAGCCAACAGCACGCGATGAAACTACCACACGCACCAAGGCATGGTCAAATGAGCGCGGTTGAGTGTTGAAAACAAGGGCCTTCAAATGCAAAGGCTGCCTCAAAGTGTCCAGTCGGCATATTTGCTGCAGTGGTGTGTTGGTTGGGCGTGGGACCGCAGCTGAAAGCACCCCGGTAGAGACGACCCAAGCATCTCACATAGGATCAATCAGGCTCTTTACTTACTAGCTGTACCAACAACTGGTTCCCAGCAGAAATCGAGTACCTTTTGTGGCGGAGCATGTGCCAGTATCATCTCTGTTATGGCACCGTGCTGATCGGAGTAATGAATCCAGCAAGGCAAGACGATTGTGCTGAAAGTCGCTTGTGTCAAAGAAGCCTTACACGGAACACCTAGCCAGTCAGCAGGCAACCACGAAGGCACAGCGATTTGCGTTCCAATTTCGATGCAAAGCGGAGTTCCTTTGCTAGTTCAGGGCCTGTTCGAGGGGCTGCTTCGAAGCCATGCCATATTTGCAGTTGTCAGTTTGCGGATTCACACTGGAGTTCTGAGAAATGCCCTCTTTGAGAGGTGGGCTTGGCACCTCGTTCTAGGCCCAGAAATTGGCCGGGGAGCTGTCCCAGTACCTCAATGAGCGGGGAAGCCCAGGTGTTTGACCCCGGTGAGATGTTCATCTGGGCCACCATCAAAGCCGAGTTAGACAAAGGATAGCAAGGCACAATCCCAGCCATAAATGGGCGGGGCCGCCCTGTTAGTTCTGCACATGATTTTGGGTGGACCATTTTAACACCAGGTTTGATTATGACTCACCTTTTCTTGGCCAAAAAGGAAGCCTGTTATACTCGAAGGTCAAGACTGGCGAGAGCTAGCCAGCAGAAGAAGTCTGGCACATTCCCAGCTAAGCGCTCACCAGCATAGCATGACTCTCCGAGGATATTCCAGGGTTGTTTTTGGATGTTTTTGGGGTGCAGGCGTCACATGGACGTGGCATTCGCGGGTGTTTCTTGGCAAATCTATGGCATGCCTCAGGTCGCAGATCTACCGCATTGACCATTACTTGGCCAAGAACATGGCCGTGTCCTAAGTCGGTTCGGTTGGGCTGCTGAATGCTGCTGACACGAATTTGCTCTGATTGCGGCGAGCAGCTCACGGGAGCAAAGCCGGCTTCCCCAAGAGGAAGGTCCGTTGCCATGCCTCGCGGATCCCACATCTATGATTGATGTCGGCGAACCACGACAAACCAGTTTGGATTTTTCCGCTTAGCTGTCACCTGGCGTGTCGATTGTCAGCCGCCCTACAGTTTGTTTCAGACACGAGTGGGGATGGGCCGCGACGTCAGAAAGTCAGGGCCATGGGCCATTTGCCAACCAACGAATTGGCAAGGGTTCATGGGGTGAGCTTGTTTGACGCCCGGGCCAGAACGCCCACGGGCGCAGGTAAGCATTTTAGTGTTGGCAGAGGGGCATTTACACCTGACTAGGCCAAAGTGGAGTTGTGGCTGCTTATTGGCATTTTGAAGTTCCCCCACCTTGGGGCAAAGAAGCGTGTTCCTCACAAGGTGTCCGATATGCTGAACGGGTCCAATTTGAGTTTTTTGTTTGGGTATGCAAGTTTCCATTCCACTATGTGGAGACTCGGACTGTTGACCTTCGCTTTGTTGTAGAGTTTGCGAACATCCACTTGACAGGTACCCTGTGTTGACATAATGCTGCAAAATCCATACAGGTAACTCACGAGAATAGCTTAATCCTTTATTGAAGCCCCCCTACCCGGAAGGCTTGCTCGAGCTTGCCGGATGCTTTGGCCCAACCTTGGGCAAAAGCTTCGCCAGGTGCTGAATATCCTCACCCTGCGCTTCGCCAACCGAGAGCTGGGCCGGCTTTTCCATGCGTGCCTGGCCTGTGCACGTCTCGTGGGTTTGTTTGGTTCGACTCCCTTGCGAGTTGCATAGCCTTTGGCACCGAGATTGGTGTTAGCGCGGGGGGGCGCGATTTGTATGCTGGCTGGTTGCTGCCCGGTTGTACAGCGTTCATTGCTTGATGTTCGAATGCTCGGGATGCTGAAGTTATGCACTTATACATGGAACTAAAGCCATAAGGCCAGTGGCCTTACAAAAGGCGCACACACGATTTATGATTGTCTGGAAAGGTGTAAACTGCTAGGAGCGAGTTGCCAGAGACCCCAGCCAGGTGCTTGGTGCCATGCTGGTGTCGTTTTCAAGCCGTCCCCAAAGGGCTCGCCAGTTTTACACAGCCGCTCGGAGAGTCGTGAATCCTACGTGAACTGAACACCGGAAAGCAGGAGCTTCGCATTTCGACAGTTCCGAGGTTCCCAGCGTGTCCTTTCCGTGCTGCATGAATTTGCCCGCCTCTGCTGCGGAGCTGGCAGGCAGACAATGTGTCCATCGTGCGTATCACCTTCAAGGAAGACATCAATGCGCCCTCCTGAGATGTATTTGCACACCAGGCTTCGTGAAGGAGAGCTCAGGAGTGACATCCACCGGAGGGTCGCTCTAAACTGAGTTGTTCCTTTGGGTTTTCTCTTTGAATCCAAAGGGGCCCTTGACAGTAGCTCTATGGAAGCGGGCTCATATGGAAAGCTGGTTTCACTTGGCTAAACGCCGCCTCTGAAAGCCGCAAGCAGGGACCTACTTTTTCAGAATGGTGGATGCCAACAGCAGCTATCAAACTCGAATCACCCACTGTTAGCCGCCAGAGGTTCAGTTGACCCTTCTTGCTTCAGTGGGGTTCACATGGCCAATCAAGGGAAGGACAAAACCTCGGTCTTTACAAAGGGTCAGGCAGCCACCACCCCGGATTAATTAGTTTGATGGATCAATGATTTTTTCTCGAGCAGTGAAGAATCCCCAATTGACCAGGGGCGTTCACTTCGGCTAAGGTCGCTGGCAGAGCTGGGTACTTTGACGGCGCTGGGCTTGGCTTTGAGTCGGGGGGTGCGCTTTGCCTTCCGCAACATGCGGAAACATATGTGCGGTTGGGAGCTTGATGTCAAAGAGGACCGCTGGATTCGGGCTGCGAAGGTGTGGCTAGCTGGCAAGCGCGATCGCTATTTATTCAGTCGAGTTGCGGAGCTCATCGCCGGAACCGTGTGATCCCATGTCAGTTGTAGTGCGTGCTGTGCTTGTGGCTGAGGCTACGGCATCATCAGGGCCGTTCACTCGGCAGCTGAGTATCGATGGGGTGCAGCATTCCCCGAAAGCATTTCTTATCGTTCCCCAAATTATGGCGAGCCCACGGGGAACCAGATTACATGAGAGAGCGTTGGTATGCAAGGTTGCGGGTGGCAACTTTGGCAGGTCGGGATTTGTGCATGCAGACCAATTCCTAAGCGTTGAAGCCATCCTTTGGCAGCTTGGCAGAAATGCCACCTCCCACGAAGCTCCACCATGCGCTGCCCTCTCATGTAAACAAATGTGTTTCAGTTGGGGTTTCTATTCAGTCAGATATGCACAGACCGAATGGGTGAGAAGCATGTCGCCTGCTCAAAGATTCAGATGAGGTGGGGCATCCCTTGCGGAAAGCATTTTGGAGATCACCTGGCCCCACCCCCGCAGCACAGCTCTGACTTGATCAGTTGCGTGCACGCATGAGGCTCTTAGCCATGGCTGTGGCGCTGCGAGATGTGGTCGGATAGAAAAACCGTCAACAAAACGCCCCAGAAAGTCAAGTTGAGCGATTTGGAGCGGTTTATGGATCTTCCCGCCCGTTTTGCTTAGCGCAGTGCCATTCACTTGGCTTTTGAGCTGATGGCTCCTCTGATCTTCCACATCCTCGCTGTCGCGTTGGCAGAGCCCAGCTTGCGTGGGGCAGAGAGCAACCTGGCAAGTGCGCGGAGACGATCTTATTGTGTGTTTCTTGTGTGCTCTTTTGTTGGACCTTTAGCCTGCTTGTTTGTTGTTATTCCTCTCGGGGGAATGCACCCTGTGTTTTGTGCAGTAGCGGGCACCACGGGCCCTGCATTGTTGAAAACATGCAAAACTATAGGGGGCAAAACAGCTCGAGCTGTCCAAGCAGTAAATAAAATTGCAGACCCCAGACTTTGAGATCTTTAGTTTAGTGAAACAAAGACGTTCTTTGGAATCATCATTTGATCACTTGTGAGTTGTTGTGGACAGCGATCGGCAGAGCCAGAGATCTGAACAAGGTCAAGTTTTACATGTAGTAGAGACTCAAAATTCAATGCATAATGCATTATGAGCTATTTTGAAGCAAACTAGTTATCGTATCGGGGGCAGGGTAGGAAACATAAGTCCAAGCACTAATTACTGGTATGTTGATGCTGGGTAGCTGAAGCACAATGTCAATGGCAAGTGTGCAACTTGTGGCTGTGACCTTGTTTATTCCATGGATTATGCCAATACAACTTCCAGCCTTCTTTGTCAGAGACTACGTACCGATCTATCCCGTACAAGGGACAAAATAGACTGTCCGCGGTTTGTGGAACCAGTGTTTCAGGGAAAATATCACAGTGTATGAAAGTACTATGGCACGCATCCATCAACATATGTGCATTTACATTGCCTATGAAATCCTATCAAGACATTGGTTTCAAAACAAAATGCTCAGGCCACATGCAGCCCAGCTCTCTCTATCTCTCTTTTCACGAGGAACTGCGCACTTTCACATTGGCCATCAACAAGTCAACACTGTTGCATCACCAGCCTGGTTTGTTTCATAGCTTGCGCTGCAACCGTAATTGGCGGAAAAATCCCCTTCATGATGAAGTCTTCTACACAGCTGCCTGCATGCATGCACGCGTGCAACCGTGTGAACATGCAAATGTGCCAGCACTGTCACACATGCATGCTGAAAGAAAACGTACAGACATCCCGGCAGAGAGAGGAGGTAAACAATTCTCACCCCACAACACAAGATGGAGTGATTTGTCGGACTTGTTCAATTTTTGGCCAAGATTCCACAAGAGGAGAGGCCACCGCATTGTGATCCCTTGGGCAGGGGGAAGCAGTACCCTTTTGTCCGGGGGTCTACGGGGGCCTAGGAGAGCCTGCATGTGGCCTACCCGGGCACGCGCATCGCATCGTGCACGGCAAGAACTCCCAGCAGTGCTCCTGGCCATGGCAGGCGTGAACTCGCAGCGGGAGGGGAGGTCACATAGCGCAGTGCTGGCTCCAAATGGCAATGAATTTCCATGGGAAGCCACTTGTGAGGTGGTTGTTGGACATGAATCCCCACCTTAATGATGTCCACCAAAGGACCCTCAATGAAAATTCACACCCAAATGGGGGAACCTGGCGACCATAACAGGTAAATTCTTCAGTTTCTCGACAAGAAGCGTATTCCTTTCTCCAGTTGCAGCAAATCATTGAATACCAGGAGTAGTTTTTTTTTTTTTTTTTTTTATCACACTTGGTCTTGTAAAATGGCGCAACCTTGTCCGTTCCAGAGAACTAGGGACACCTTCCTTCGGCTATCCTAAGCTTGTTTGCAAGAACCCCAAAGCGGACACGATGGAAAAAGACACCCCGCATCCGTGTCAGGATTTGCCTGTTGACACTTTTTGGTGGAAAATGAAGGGGGTTTCCCTGAAAGTGTTCAAACAAAGTTACGCCCCACAGGTGGTAGGTTTGCCATTTCCTGGGGGTATGTTAGGGAATGCAGGCCATCAACTCGGGCACTAGAACCATGCTCCCATGGCCTCACTGCATGCGCAAGGTGAGCCTCCGGATGCAGCACAAGGGCAAGGGCATGCACTTCTGTGGGGGCACTTTGCTCAATGAGCACTGGGTGCTCACGGCGGCCCATTGCGTCGCGCTCCTTGGCCACAACTGTCTACCTTGGTTGCAGGTAAACACGAACCTTGCGGTTCGTTGGCGGCCTTGTTTCCTGAAAACGGGGAGCACCAGGAGGTCATGCTATCAACCTTTCACTAGGGTCTGGAATTCGGACAAAACACTAAGAACAAGGTCAAGCTGTGGGAGAAAAATCAAAGAGATTTGAGGAACACAGTTTTCACTCCCTGAGGTTTTTGGACGACTGTACCTTACCGCAGCTGCGCGCTGTTCTGGGAGGCTGGCGCGAGTCAAAGCCAACAGCCGCAGTGCAGCGTGGGGTTACGCAGGCCGGAGCGTTGTTCATTGGCAGTCATGGGGGGGGGGGCTGTTGAAAGCCCGGTTGTTTTTTGGGGCTTTCAGACAAAACCTTGCGGAATCTTGAGGTTTTCATGATGCAGTGTTTGCACTTTGTTCTAGCCGCTAGCTTTGTTTGGTAGTGATTAACCGGACGCTCCTTTCCAGCCTCTGCAAATCAGCCGCAGGTGGGCAAAGAGCACCTAATCGATCTTCCCCATATCCACACTCTCAACATGCCAGCCTTTTTGTATTGCTGACGGTCGCTTTAGTTTTTGTTTGAGAGACTGGCAGAGATTCGCTGGCCTGTTGCACAAGAAGCGCAACGCGTCTAAACAGCATCGGAGAATCTTTTTTGTTTTTTTCCCTCTGTGATCATCATCCTACGATACAGGATGCCTCCAATGGGGCACTGTCTGCAATCTGTTTTTTTGAATCTTGCCACGCCTCTTCCCCTCGCCAACCCCACTCCACAGATCTTTCCTCAGGATCCGGCTGAGTGTGCAATTTCAATAACGGAATCATCGAGGCTTGGACACTTTTGCACCCCTGGATAGATATGAAGTAAGTGAGTAAGCCCATGAGTCAATCAACAGGCCTCTTCCTATGGTTGTTTGAACCCATCCACTCAGGAAGTGAGATAAAGTGAGCAAGCCAACGCTTTCATCAACAAGGATCCATTCGACGCTCAACCAGGGTTCCATCCCAGTCGCAGGAAGCTTACTACCTAACCCCTGTGGTTTGCCTTCCAGCTTTCTTGGCCAGCAGGGCTACCTTTGAGTCAATTGCACCTTCAAAGCAGTTGCACCCAAAAACTGTTCCGCCCACACGGGTTCCAAAAATAGTCAGACGAACAGCCGGAGCTCGAGGTGTTGAGCCACCCAGCCTTCGACGTACTTTCGGCCTACGACATGGACCTTGCGCTGCTGCGCCTGGACCAACCCGTGGCCTTCAACGACTGCCTGGCACCTGCGTGCCTGCCCCACGAACCAAGCGAGCCCCGAGCAGGCGCCAACGGTGCAACATGGGATCACTATGGGACGCACACACATACACATAAACACACATAAGTAAATATATATATATATATACACATATTGTAATCTATGTAATGCAGGCCTGATTAAACTCCATTCAGTCCACTGGCATTTGGGTTCTTTCGCGGGCTTTTGCCATTGATCGTTAGGGTCCGGTCCTTGGACATGCAGGTCCAAGCCTTTGCCTTTGAGACGGGAGGACCAGCTTTGTGTTTTGTCCCTACTTCCCAGGCTATCATGAAACCCACAAATTCATTCTGTTTAGGAATATCCTCCTGAGTAGCCACATCCGTATTGGGTTTCATGTTAGCTGGCAGATTAGTTGACAGGGAACAGGACCATGGATCCGAGGCTGTGGCAGAATTCAATTGGCCTAGCTGCCCAGAGAAAGAGCAAACTTGCAGCTTCTCCGTGTCTACCTTCTCCACCATTGTTCATTTCAAAAGTCAAAGCCATGATCTTGGATGAATGTTCAATAAACACCGCATATAGAGACGCATATAGAGAAGTATGCACATTCATGTGTATGTCTATGCTTACGGAGGGGGAAAGAAAAAAGGGAACTGACAGGCTGACTGTGCAAGATGTGCAAGCTTGGATTACATGTGTTTGTGCCAATCGAGCCCCTTGAGGCAGAAGCTGCGCCATCACAGGCGGGTACTTTGGGATGTGGGGCGACTTTGGCGTAAGGGAGCAAGAGGGTATGGATCAGCCATGGGATCCTTATAGCAGTGAAAAGAGCAGATCAGTTTTATGCGAGTTGTGCTATCCAAACAGCCATGCCAGGAGTGAGTTGTTTTGGCCGCGCAGATGCAAGCTTCCAGGGAGGCCTCAAGCCCGTGTCGCTTTGAAGCGGCTGGCGATGACGAACTCAAGCGGCGGGCTGGGGTCCGTAAATCTTAGCAGGACCCAGCAGCCTTTGTGCGGCCAAATGTGGCAGTCCCCGACCATTCATTCAGACAGCCAAAGGGTCAGCCTTTGACCTACACACTCTCAGGGCATCCAAGAAATCTTGAACGGGCTCCGAATTTCTGCTCAAGGCCCCCTACAGTGACAAGCAGGCCAACCCTTCGACCCACAAATGGATACGAACTCCCTGAGGCTCACATGGAACCTCACTCAGTGGCTCAGTGGGTGGGGGGAAGGGTGGGGGGAGGGGGTCGGCAAGGCCTCGGCCTGCTGGAGGAGTCGGGCACCATGCCCAGCATGCTGCAGGAGGCACGGGTCACCACTCTGAGCCCCGCGCCTTGGCCGCGCTTTTCTCCCGGTGAAAGTCCAAAGGGCAGACATGGCACAGATGCATCCGCTTGTATACGCGTATTCATGTACATACATGCATATACATGTACATGTTGCTCATGTACATGTATGTGTTTCTCTATTTACGTGCACTAGCTGCTTGTGTTGCGTGTGGTGTATGCATGCACGTGTTCATGTATGCAGGATGTGTTGGAAAGCAATTTGAAGGCAGCGCCCTTTTGCTGAAAGAAGAAATGTGTGGGGAAGCCTGTGGGGATTTGTGTTGTGTCGCTTTTCAGGGGGGGATGATTGACGAACGACAGTTGCTCGGAGGGGGGGGAATTATGGAGCTTTATGTGTTTTTCGGTTTTGCCGCGAGAAGGACAGATCATTCCAGCTTAGTTGGCTGGTTGGTCCACAGGTTTCCAGTCCAGGTGCTCCGAGCATGCCCAGCATTCCAGCCAGGGAGGCAAATGGGACACGGAAACCAGAAGGGCCCCCGAAATAGCCTGGCTTGTTGTAGGGTATATGTCCTTCTCAACAGCTGGCAGTGTCAGTATGTTTTCGCAAGCACGCACTTTGGCAAATCCACAGGTTCTGTGAATCCGGACGGCATCACATGGACAAGGCCACCGCAGCCTTCGGGGCTCAAGGCTTTGGAAGATCCGCCGCCCTTTGCCTTGTTCTCGGCGGCGCTTGCAATGACCGACAGCAAAGTGGTCCGCATTCCAACAGTGGAGATGATGGAGGAGGAGAAGACAGGAGCATCTCTACGCCTGTCGGCGATGTGCCTGCTTAGCACCTGCTGCTTTTGGATCCCCATTATGCTCCTCAGTTGCCCAAAGGCTGGCCTTGTGACCCTTTGAGTCCTCTTTTTGCTGTCCCACACTTTCGGCCCAGCTTCAGTCATGAGTCATAGTGCCAAGGAATGATTCTTCCATAAGGCCAGGACATAGAGACAGAGAGAGAGTCCCCCTCACAAATTCGCGTTTTGTTGTTCCATGCCGAAGTCCAGATGAGTAGTCCCAGGCTTTTGCACCAGTTAGGTTCTTCCTGGGCTCCGCCAATGTGCTTGAGACCTGCGAGCACTACTTGGACTTCATCCTGTGGCTCAGGAGCCCTAAAGACCTGTCCATGTCCCTCTTCGCCCGGCATATTCATAGCCTTTTTGGCAATTTGAAGCGCATTTCCTTTTGGTGGCGTGATGTTTAACGGGGAAGACGGGGTTTTGACGTCAGAACTCCCTTGGCGCCAGTTCGGAAGGCCCTTGGATTTCTCAGAAGGAAGTCTCAAGAGTTGGTCCATGGCTGGTGGTTGATTCGGAGTTGCCGAAGGCTTGCTTCCTAGCCGGCCCGTGGCTTCCTGGGCGCGAAATAACATATAGTTCTGGGCAGCCAAGGAGGGATGTGCAGTTTCCCCCAAAGCCTACACCAGCCAGTTTCCATTACAGCCGTGGGTTATGGCTGTCCTTCAGGGCCTACTCCCTGGTTCCCATGATGTCCGCGCTGCTCATGCAGGCTTTGCTGGTGGTCTTCGCCTTCTTGGGCCGCAGAAGCCTTAGTCTGTTGAAATCGGCTTCTCAAGATTCGATCAGCCCAAAATCATCCCAAAGTCCTTAGTTCCCCTTGTAACAAAATCAAGCATTCTTCTAAACAGACACATGCCTTGCTTGTTGTTTTTTCCCCCATGGGAAGCCAGAAGGCAGCCACCTCTTCAAGCTGGCCCTGAAGCTCCAGATTTTCACGGGCCTGGTGTCCGTGGCTCTACTGGCCTGGGGCTGGGTGGAGTATGCAGACACCTCTCAGGACGCCTGCGTAGGGACCGGCAGCTCAGCCATCCGAACATTGTCCCAAGGTGTTTGTTGTGTGTTTCCTTTTCAGTCAGTTCCCCACGGGAGAAACACACCATGCACTCAGATGTTATTGTGAACGCTTCGTGCTGTTCACCTTGGCCGTATTCTTTTGGTGGGGTTTGATGTGTGAGTTTACTAGAGCTTTGAAAGTGGGCAATTCTAATTTGGTTTTTGGCCCCCCTCGGGTTTTGGGAAAAATAATGTGTTAGAGGATTCTTTCTCGGGGGGAAGGGAAGAAAAACCAGAAGCACGATGCAAGCTAGAAACAATGATGCCGGGCCCAGCAGGGGTGTCAGCGCTTCCCGGCCCTGGCGGCAGAGGCGAATTGGCGAATGGGCCAGTAAGAATGGTGGCGTCCCTTTTCTCTTCAACCCTCAAGAAAATAATCCAGTAGGGCTTGGCTTTGGAGTTTGTTTCTTTCCTGTGAGCTGAGGCACGGTGGACCCCAAGTTGATCGCCCTCGTCTTCCTGGTCCTTGGGTCTGTTGGGTTTCCTGCCTTGCTCCTGTCGGCACTTTGGCAGGGCTGCTGTGACAGCAACCAAAGGCTTTTCCGCCGAGCGCCCAGTCAAGTGTGAGAATTTGCTCGGAATGAGCCATTTGCCTATGAATGGGGGGGCGCCCTCGGACATCACTCCGAGAGAGAACAAATGTCCAGGAGGGGTCCCAAGTGAAATTCACACCCATCGCGCTAGCAGACTGCATGCATGCTTCAAAATTCGGCCTGCGTTCGTCGTCGGAATTGACGCTGACCTAAAAGGGCAGGCAGGTGCTTTGCGCAAGAAGCCGCCTGTAAAGTTTACAAGGCCTTCTCCAACCTAGTCTCCGAGCACGTGTGTTCACATGCCAAGTCTGCAGGCCGGCGCTGATGATCAAACATTCGTCCCGTGAAGCAAAGAACTCTCTCCCAAGTCCCCAGTTTCTGGACTGAACACTTTCCAGGACCACCGTATTTTGTTAAAGCGAGCGAACCGACCAGCTCAGACTTTTGTGGCTGACCCTCTCCTGATAGTAGTGTCGGCATTGGCTTGACTCAGAAGCTCTTTTGTCGCATCCCCGGGCACGCGCCCGGAATCATTTCTCATGGCGAGTTACAACTGAAGTCCTTGGACTCCCCTGCCACACGGAATGCAAAATGCTTGAATGGAACAAGCACGTGCATCAAGCCCAATCAACCGGCTTCGACTGATAGAGCTCAAATTGCTTGATACCATTAAGGATGAAGGGCTTGTCCAAGGACCTCATAGCCAGTTCAGCTGAGAGCTTTCCCGAGCACTGGACGCACTCACCATGGGCCAGCAAGACCTGTGCCTGCAAAGGTGGCAGGGTCTCCAGGCCAAGATGTTGCATGCATTTTAAAGCGATGTGTGAACATAGATGGCACGATTCCAACCTAGTTTGGCTTAGACGGGCAATGTGCCATCTACTTTCACCCTAGAATAGACTCCCTTGAGGAATAGGCCCCTCCTGCAAGGCAGCTACTGTGACAGGAGGCGACCAGGAGGCTGCCATTTCCAAGGGCGGTGCTCATGGGCAAGGATTGGGACCATCATGTCCTGAAATCTGCTGCCCAAATGGAGAAAAGAGCCCTCCTTGCGCGGAAGCCCGGAAGCCATCAGATATCCCAGCGTTCTCACGGATAAGGGCCTTCGGATCTTGAATCGGCCAAAAGCCACGCTGCAAGCAAGAACTCCTTCCGGGTTTCTCGCACGGCATCATACACCCCGCTACAAGAGTTTCTCTTGAGAGTGGGCACCCTCATCCTGATTCGGAATTATTCATTCCTGCTCCAAATGGTCCGCTCGGTTCAACGCTTTATGTGAGGAGCTGATAGTTGATGCTAGGGTTCCGATGTCTGCAAATTGGATTGCATGACACGCCACCTGTAAATCAAAAGGCCTCAGCTCCTCGAGGCCTTCCTCAATTGCCTTGAGCGATAAGACACTGATTGTATATCCCGTTTCCCCTTAAACCATCTTGGGGGGGCGGGGGGCAACTTCCGCGTGTCAATCCAGCCCGTTGGCTTCCGGCAGCTCAGGAGGTTTGCAAGGAAGACTACGCCGGCAACGACACCGCCAGCATCACGGGCAACATGTTCTGCGCTTCGGGGTTGTCCTCCAACGGCGTACCTTGCCCAAGATAGCGGGAAAGCTCGGAGGTTCAACCTGCTGAGTGAGTAGGTCTCTGAGTAGGTTGGGACCACGGCGAAATGTCCACCAACCTGTGCTGTCCCGTCTGCAACCATGAACTAGCCTACCTAGTAAGTGGGTGGAGCATCCAAGTATGGAAAGGTGGGCGGATGAGGTGTCGTGAAATGAGAGCGACATGGTCAGGTACTGCCTGCATAAGTTGTTTTGACATGATTCAAGGGCGCGAGCCAACTAAGATCAGTGGAGGTTCGCATGGGATGTGGATGTGGCAGTCGCCCAAGTGCTCCAGCAACATGAATCAAACCTGTTGCATGTGTGGCACCTGTTTGGGAAGCATGGTTGCTGCAGGCCGGGGAGAGTTGGGATGGGAGCAGGCAGAGGGTTCTTGGCCTTGCATTTTTCTTTTAAACCGTTTGGTTGAAGATAGAGGGGAACCCGACCAGAAAGCCCTGAAATGTAACACGCGTGGCTCCCACTCAGTGCTATTTGAGTGCGGGGTGGAAGCTTTATTTGGCATGACAATCCTCATTCGAAGGATCAATTCGAAGTACACGTTCGCAAACGACTAGTTTGAGAGTTTTCATGTCAGTTCGACTATTTTGCGAGGCCGCGCCGGCATTTCCATGTTGGCGTTCGTATACCGATTGCAACGGCTTTGTGGAAAGGGTTGACTGCGCATTCCATTGCAAAGAGTCACATGGGATCTGGAGCGTTCGCAGGAGTTTCCGTGTCAATGAACTCAAGCACGATTGCAATGATAAAATGCGTGCTCTATGTTAGCCGAATTGCAAACATTCACAGTGGACTCCCCGGGGAAACGTCAACGTCTTGTCGAGGCATGTAAAGAGAACCATGGCTGTTTCAGTTCCTATGTTAGCCCAACCTCAGCCCTGTGCATTTCCAGGTTTGTTTAGCGACAATACATCTATGAATGAAGGAGTACGCGATACGCCCTTTCTTGATGCTGGCGGTGGGAAGTGGCCGAGAGGGCTTTGGTTCGGCAGTTGGCCGCAGCGCCTTCAAGGATGGCGACAGTGAAAGTTTGGACCCATGAGTTTGGCCAACCCAAACAAAAACAGTTAAGACCTGACCTCTAAGAAAGTCCCTGGTCCCCAACTCTTCCAGTAACACCTCTCCGGGCCATCTGACTCCATGCGGGCGCCGCAAGTTTCGGCCGATCAAAGCTTTGAGCTTAGGTCACCGACGCCTGCCAGGGCGACAGTGGAGGGCCTCTTCTTTGTGAGAGTGCAGGCTCTATGTCCGATTTCCAGGTACGGTACAAGTATTGAGAGGCTTACTGGGGTCAGATGTGCGCACGGGGGCAATTGCACACGCACTCTGGGATTCGCACCGCACAAACGAAGAATTGAGTCACATTCCACGGCTACAAATCCAATCGCAAAGAAGGCTGATAAATCCCGGCATTTGGACAATCGCCCAAACAACTTGTAAAACTGGAATGTCGGTTGACCATGTTCGAGCTCTCTTGCATGTTTAGGCAGATCAAGCGCGCATGCCCTGCTGGCAGAATGTGACATAAGCTGTTCATAAGTTTCTGAATGTCCGGGCATCCACGGCCCTTGTGTTTGAGAAGTCAAATGGTGGGGGATATACGTGCATGTTTGTTATGTTCCTCGTGACCATTCTGGGTTGGGGATACGGCAGGCAGATGGGCACAGGCAGAGCCTGGCTCCAACCATTGGGGCCTCTTTGGGGGCTTGCCACTCCGAGCACCCATTTCCATGAGGTCTTGAATCTGGGATGCCTACAATCCAATCGCCCAGCAACGCTTTGACATCAAGAACATGAACATGCCAGGGTCCTCATATTGATTACTTGAACCACTTGGAAAAAATACATGGGTCGAGCCGTGCCCTCCCCATTCTTTGCAAGAATCCCTTGGCACGCAAAAGCCGAACGGACTTGAAGAAGAGACTGGGGAATCAACCCGAAGCATCCGGGTTCATGGGTCTGTCCTTGTTTGTGAACCCCTTTCGTTGGTATTTTAGAACACGAAGTACACTTTTGGGGGGGTCAATGCATAATTTTGAAACAGACCCTCATGGGATTTCTCAAAATGGTGGACCCACTTTTAGTTGGTATCCAAAGGGAACAAAAAGGAGTATTTGGGAAGAACATCGCCCACCAACTTGCCCAAAGCCCGACCATTTAACCTTTTACATCCGTTTCCCCCTTTTTGGTCTGTTTTTCGTCCTGGCCTAAAAGTCCTTTGGACCAAACGAACATCGACCAAATTGAGCGACCCGCAGGCCGCTACGTTGTGGCCGGCGTCACCTCTTGGGGCAAGGGCTGCGGTCATCGAGCCCCGACCGGCCTTGGCGGCCCCGCACGTGGATTGATTGGGTGGGTGGTGTGGTTTGGCTTGGCTTGATTTGGGTTGGATAGGGGTTACTGGGATTGGTTGGTTGGGTTGGTTGGGCTGGTTGGGTTGGTTGGGTTGGTTGGGTTCGTTGGTTCGTTGGGTTGGTTGTGTTAGTTGGGTTGGTGCGGTTGGTTGGGTTGGTTGGGTTGGTTGGGTTGGTTGGGTTGGTTGGCTTGGTTGGCTTGGTTGGCTTGGTTGGGTTGGTTGGGTTGGTTGGGTTGGTTGGCTTGGGTCCACACCCGCACCCGCACCCGCACCTGCACCCGCACCCGCACCCGCACGCGCACGCGCACGCGCATGCGCACGCGCAGGCAGGCACGCGCGCACGCACACACGCACACGCACACACGCAGGCACGCGCGCATGCACGCACGCACGCACGCACGCACCCATCCACACACGCACACACCAACACAGCTCTTCTTTGAAAGACAGCTAGATGTTATGCACAGTGGTGGCATGGGTAGTGCGTGTTGCCGCTGCTTTGGGCTCAAGCGAGTTACTTGCCAACTCCGCAAGGGGCGGTATTGGAAGAGCCAGGGCATCATGCACCTCGCCGTTGTCAACCGGCAACTGTAGGGGAGTTGAAATAGCTGGCTCCCAACGGTGTTCGGGGCACAGCTGTTTCCATTTGGCCCGTGTTGTGGAGGTTCCCTTTCCTGGGGGCGCTGTTGCGAGCATCTTTCTTTTGAGACTGACAAGCAAATCGGCACTTTGTAAATAGCCCATGGTTTGCACTTGTGCAAGGGGAAACCAAATCAGCATGGGTAGTTGTTTTTGCCACACCACCTCTATTTCACACGTGTGCCTGGCAGGAAATCAAATAGGGATTGGTATTTGTTCGGCCGGCGAGCATGGCAGAGCCGATGGAGCATTCCTTTCGGGCATGACCTGCTGTTTCTCTTTCCAAGCTTTTACAGGAGCGGGAAGCAGCGGGTAATTACGTGTAGTTTGTTTGCAATGGGTCACCGCCAACACCTTTGCAACCCGAGGTACTCCTACATCCCAATGTCAGGCACTCAAGGAGGGGTCCAGCGAGTTGTATCTGGCCCCGTAAGCCAAGCTCCGCCCGTCTACGTGCCTTGGAGTGGAATGAGGTCAATGCTGTCGCAATGTGACACCAGGTGCATTCCTTCACTATCTCTTCCAAAGCTTGCTGTTCCAGGGGTCTACAGGACATAAATGAATCGTAGCTGTAGACTGGGAGTGGCCAACTTCAGACGAGTTGTCCATGGAAGTGGACACGAGGAAAACATGGAGCGAATCTGAACAAAGCGTGGAACAGTCCAACAGCCCTGCTTCGGGAGACACTCAACTGCTCTCATGAGCAAGCCCATTGTTCAGAGGCATCGTCTTCTTGTTTCATGGGAAGGGTCCCTTGAAGATCAACCACCCAAAAGAGATTCCTTTCCTGACCAGGACCACTGAGCAACTAAGGGCCCGGGCGGCTGAGGTGTGATGCAGGGCAGTGATCAGGGATGTCAACTTGCTAGGTTTGTGCTCCATGGTATCGTCCCCAATGTTACCCGGCACGCTGAGCTGCCAAGCCACGCATGTTGTTTTGGGGAGCCAGGTTCCATGAACAGCCAACAGCCCGTTAGTCATACGAATGTCGGTTCCTACCTTCAGGCTTGAAATAGGAGAAGCAATGTGGCCTCTCGTGCAGAAATCAAGATGCGTTCGGGAGAATGTGGGATCCAGATCTGAGGTGACTCCCTCGCCGATGTCGTACGACTCTTCTGCCCAGTCGCCCCAGACGCCGCTGAAGGAAGATTCCGACATGCAGGCCGGCGACGGCACCTTGGCGACATGGACAACAGCGGGGTGAAACCCAGGAGCTGGCGGCAGTTCTTGGAAATGTCCAGGCGGAATTCTCACTTGTTGGAATGCTAGGCCTCAACAGGTTGGAAGCAAACTCGGGATAAAAGGTGGAAACATGCCGGGGTCATGCGTGCTCCGTCATGTGCTGAGCGACTGGATCTTTGTGATTGCGCCTTGGGTAGCAGGCGAAAGGAGTGGCAGGATGCCCGCCATAGGCCTGTTGGCTGAATCCATACCTGTAGGTGCACTTTTGTTTCAGCCAGGCCGACTTGACAGACCGGCGTTTTGATGGATTTGTCCCCCAGAACCTCCAAAACGGGAGGCCCAAAACGAGCATCCTTGGACCGATATTGCCAGCAGTATGTGAGAATGCTGAATTGGAGCAAGAGTTGGCCGCCCAAACTTGCTACCTACATGGAAACACGCGAGATGTGACTTCAGTCGCACCATGTTGAAACGATGCCCTTCAGAGGGTCCTGGTCTAAGGGGTCAACCACAAACCTCGGCCCCCATCCCTCATGCCATGGGTATGTCAAGGGCGTCAGGGAATTCAGTTCCTCGGGTGGAACTGTGCACAGCCTGGCGTTGTGGCTTTAAAGATAATTTACCAGGTTCATCTAGCTTTCCATCAGGGCGCCAAGGATCCACCCTGTGAAACACCCGCTTGCAACGCCCGGCTTTTGGCAGACGGACTTTTGCGCCCCAGTTCTTTTGACTAGTTGCCCCCTCCTTTTCTTGAGATTGGTTGGAATGGAGAACCTTGGCGGATGGCTGAGGCAGAATTATTAAGCGCTCCGACCTAGAGGCTGCCATCAAGACATGTGTGGTGGTCTTCCTTGGGGTCTGTTGCCTCGTCATGATCGTCGTGCTGCTTGCACCTTGGTTCACGAGTTGGACAGGGTCCGCCCCACTTGCAAGACTGGAATTGAAGGGGCAGGTGAATGCTTTGGTTCCCTCGATCGTTTGGTCAGACTAAAAACACGGATCTAGGGACCCCCCCTCCCCCCGCCCCTCCCTTTTCCCTTCAACAAAACGTGGTTGGCACAATCGCTGCTGTTGCAAAGGCCTTGTTTACATGGAGAATTGTATCCACAAGCCATGAGAGTGCCCCCAAAAAAAAAGCAACACATCGTCACGTGCAAGGTTCCTGGCAGATCCAGGAGCCAACAAAATGAGAAGGCTGTATTCAGCACTTGTTTACTGGAGAAGTCTGTCCACGTGCCGGTGTAAATTGAAGCAACCCATCGCAATTTGGCGATGCAGGCGCGGATAACTAGAGGGAAGGTCACAAACAAATCGGGTCGTGTGGATTTCCCAGTCCGCGTGAAGGCCACAAGAGTTTCTGGCCTCGGGACTTGCATGTTTTCCTGAGCTCGCCAGTTGCACACTAAACCGTTTGTTTGGGAAAGCTTCTGTGCCCTGTCCTACCGACACTATGGGTAACAGACCATTTGGTCTAAGCAAATTTATAGAAATGGCGAACACTTAGTCATAGCTTCCTGATATTATGCGTGACTCCCCACTGACTGAAAAAATGCCCTGGCAACATGCGATCTGAGATCTTCGCCTACGTCGGCTACACTCTGGTGGACATGGGCCAGCAAAGGTACAACGCGCAGCCTGCGGAGTGGACACCTGCGCCTAAGCATCGACCATCCCCCAGTGAGCTGTGGATTTTGATATATTGTCCCTTTTGGTTTGGTTCCCCACTGAAAATGTGTCAACCTCAACGGGGGCTCCGATTCTTTTTGTACCAGGGGTCTTTGGTCAACTATCTTGGGAATTCCTTGAGTTTTGGCCTTTGGCCGTGCTTAGCTGCAGTCCATAGTAGAGCCCAGCAGAGCCGCTGCTGGTTACCTAGTTGGCTGGCTTAGGGGCTTGCACGCTAGATACCTTGTTTCCTGCTGGCTACCTAACTGGCGATCGCGTTAGTCAGCTGTCAGCCAGCTCTTTCTACAAGGTTACCCCTAACAAGCGAAGCAGCTACTTAGGGATAGCTAGATATTAGAAGTTAGTTGGCCAGTCACCTAGTGTGCAGATTAGCTCGTGAGCTGGGCAGGTAGTCAACTGGTCCAACAGTGAAGCAAATTGTGGTAGTCCACAAGGCTTGACCAAGCTGGAGTCGTGTGGAGCACCATACTCCACCTTTTTGTCTTGGTGGGTTCTCCCAAATTTGCCCAAAGGTTTATCCAGAGTTTCCGTGTCTGCGAGGTGATGTTCCCACGCTTCAACAGCTGCGGGGGCTGCCCAGAAGGCAACAAGACGGATGAGCAGCTGGAGCAGTGCGTGCATCCTTGTTTCAACCTCAGCTTCGTGCAGCTAGACAAATATCCTACGAGCAGCAGGTGAGGTTAGCGCTTGTAGATTCTCCAAGCATTTGTTGGGGGGAAGTGATTTTTGGAGTAAAATTATTTTGGCCATCCTTTGGAGGTTGCTATTGAAAGTGTCACTTAAGCCACGTTCATGGGCCCAGATCACGAATTCGAAGGCGGAGCCCACCTGAATTCCTCGCCCCACCCAATTATCCCAAGCCGGGGGCTGGACCTGTGGTATCAGTTTTGCCCTACCGGTTTTGAGGGTTATAGCCTCTCACAGGTTGTTGCCCTTAAGGAGCTATGGGTCACTTCTTTTAAAGAACTTGGCCAACCCCCACCCCTTAAAACATGAGATTGGGAGGGGTGACCCCTGGAATCCAATTAGGGGGGGGCCGTCCAAGCCTCCCACGAGCCAGAAAAACCTCGCAGAAGCCACTCGGCTTTCAATTCGCATAGGAAGAGCTGGGAGTCCTTCAACAAAGAGAATGGCTTCCAGACGCTCTATTTGCCCTCGCGCCAGGGACCTGAAGGCAAAGGCTTTCTTGGGCTCGAAGACCTGAAGGA